ACAGTGTTCTTGTGCCATCTGTAGGAACATACAGTGTTCTTGTACCATCTGTAGGAACATAGTGTTCTTGTACCACCTGTAGGAACATACAGTGTTCTTCTACCATCTGTAGGAACATACAGTGTTCTTGTACCATCCCTTAGGAAAATTGTATTCTATACCATCGTGGGACATTTATCAGATGCGATCAGTTTCATAAGTATTTCAAAGAAGGACATGGAAGTTCGGGAGATAAGTAAGAAAAAAACAACAGCGCTGAACTTTTTCCCAGGTGTATATCTGATGGTCCCAGCAAGTTGGGAGTTAACAAGATACAATTGTATCCAGAATCCTCAACAAAATTTGAAAACAAATACAAATAATATGTTCATATAAACATTATGACAAAGACAATAATATCTTAAAATTTAATTCAAGTAACATTATATAATCTTATTAAAATCCGATCCTCTTCTCAGATTTGATACCTCTCTGCCCAACTGTGATGGCCCAGTCAAAATCAAGGATGTGTTTTGGCGCCAATAATATTTCTGTCTTCTAAAGCAATTCAGCTTTTTATTGTTCACCACCTTTGTCATCGATTCTGAACTTTCGGTAAGAAGAAAACGAAATCCACATAAAGGTTCCCTCGGTTGTGCAACCTTTAGGCTGTATTTTCCATTACACTAAAATATAACGGGGTGTAAAACATCAACAACATATAGCGTGGTCATTATTTTCTCCATTCCGAACTGCATGGTTACATAGTCTTTTACACATACAAAATTCTGATATGCAGATCCAAATGGTTCTGAACTTCTGAAGAAATAGACTGATTGGAGGCTTTCTCAGATTTTAATGGAAAGAGGTTTTGATTCGGAGTCAAAATTGGACCTTTTACAGTTAAAACCCCGTTAATCCAGACAGTTCTTTTCCCAGTGAAAATATTCAGATTAACAAATGTCTGGGTTAACGGAATCGTGGATACAATAGTTAAACTTCGGTTATATAAAGACTCTGCAATGGTAATAATCCAAAATGAACATCACAGATTATAATGACAATTGGTGTGAGAAACTGAATTAACAGAATTACGAAATCTGGTTTCGGGACAAATTTTTATATCCTCTTCACTTGTCCAACAGCTTGATTTATTAGTAAGAGAAAGATACAGCACTCAATGTGACAAAAATGCATCTTTATACTAATGTTGTGATATATATATATGTGACACTAATATACCATTTTGTATCGACTGAGTCTCACGACACCTACAAGGATCTTGACTACAGATTATTGCAATATGTCCAAATTCCTTGATTGGCCACACTCAACATAAACAGTGATTACAATTTATTACCATTACGTTCAACTTAATGTTACAACAACAAATTATTTTCCCGAAGTCAGTTCTGATCATGCGACAAAGGACACGTTAAAGAACAAAATGGCTGCTGTCAAACTCATGTCATATGGTGACATCACAATAAGAACATGGAAGCTACATCATCTGATCACCAGCTCGGTATGGACACAGAATAGGAGTTCTGCAGTATGCAGACAGGAGGAGTTCTGCAGTATGCAGACAGGTTGAAACATGTCTAAGCGGGTTTTCCCCGAGTCAGCTACGGAATGGAGGCCATTTTGTAAGTAAGGCGTGTCCTGTGTCACATGATCAGCAACAGTTAGAAACGGAATATGGTTAATTGGAACCGGATATTGACAAGATTTATTACTGGTATTTCACTCACATCAATTTTCAAAGATACATTTGCAGAACAACACCTAAAAACACTGTACAGACACAGTTCAAAAGTACAGGATTTCTTTCATTCGTTGGTTTACGGAATTTTCTTGGAGTGAGTGAGTTTGGTTTACCACCGCTTTTAACAGCATTCCAGTAATATGGCGGCGTGTCAGCTTAATGTGGGAAGAAAGCCGGAAGTGATGCAGGTCTCAGACGTTTACCTCTTCGGTGAAACCCACAAGCACGGGATTCGAACCCACAACCACCGTTTCTGGCGTGCCCAAGGGACGCAACTCTGCACAGTGGATTGCGGCACCTGAGATGACTGGGCCACCTGTGCCCCCGATTTTTTCTTGGATGGTATTGATTGTCTAAATAGCAATAACACTGAATTGAATTGATATTAACAATACAATCCGTAGGATGTGAAAATGAAATATATTATTTTCTGCATTTTTGCGAAATTTACCTCCTATTTACCAATCACATTCCATCTATCATATTTCTTGTATTTACTTCAAACAAAATGGCGGCACCCAGTGAAAATGATGTGATCAATAATCAAGATCTTGATTGTAATAAAACGCGTCTTACCTCTCGAAGTGCATCAAATTATGTGAGCACCTTGATAAAAAAACATGAAAAGATTTGGAAAATATCTGTTGACGCTGACTTGGCGGTACACAAACTTTGTAAATCCTGCACTCAACCTGAATCTGCACGGCAGTATAGGAACCAAATGTTGATTTCATTACGTGATTTTGATTGGACTATACATAGACTCATCAGTCCAGCCAAAATATGACTCCGAAATTCCAGCCTAGTTTGGCAAGGGTGGAAACTGGACTTTTGTAGTAAGTTAACTCCCTTGCCTCTGGAAGATGAAACAACTAGTCTGATATATTACCCACTGAAATAATTGAGATTAACAGGCTCCGTGATAGTTAAAAAAATCTAGAGTTATTTTTTCATTTCTGACTTTTAGGGTTGATGGGTCCGTAAACCAAGTAATGAAACATAAGACATCTAAAATACAAATGGTTGACTGTGACAAGGAATTGAGAACTAACAACAGAATATAAAACGTCAAAAATACAACTGTAAGCTGTTACAGAGAGCTGAGAAGTACAAAAAGAATATAAAATGTTATCCAAAAACATGCACTTTAGCGCAGAGATGTCATATACATAAGCTGATGAAGCTTAATACATCATCACCATCATCATCATCATAATAATAGTAATAATTATCAGTCTTAACAGACTAAGAAGCAATTGGTTCTGATGAAATGATGTTAACAGTGGCTGTTTTAAAAGTACACCCCCCTGGTTTGTTGTTATTTATTGTGAGTAATTTGTACTCCGAGATGTTTGTTTGTTTGTTTGTTTGTTATTTAACATCGCACTTAGCAATATTCTAGCTGTGTGACAGCAGTCTGTTAATAATCGAGTCTTGACAAGACAATCCAGTGATTGACATCATGAGCATCGATCCACGTAATTGGGATATGATGACATGCATCAACCAAGTCAGCGAGCCTGACCACCCGATCCCGTTAGTCGCCTCTTACGACAAGCATAGTCGCCTTTTACGGCAAGCATAGTCATCTTTTACGGCAAGCATAGTCACCTTTTATGGCAAGCATAGTCGCCTTTTACGGCAAGCATAGTCATCTTTTACGACAAGCATAGTCGCCTTTTACGGCAAGCATAGTCATCTTTTACGACAAGCATAGTCATCTTTTACGACAAGCATGGTCGCCTTTTACGACAAGCATAGTCGTCTTTTACGACAAGCATAGTCATCTTTTACGGCAAGCATAGTCATCTTTTACGACAAGCATAGTCGCCTTTTACGGCAAGCATAGTCATCTTTTACGACAAGCATAGTCATCTTTTACGACAAGCATAGTCATCTTTTACGACAAGCATGGTCGCCTTTTACGGCAAGCATAGTCGTCTTTTACGGCAAGCATGGAAAGACCTCACAGATGTGAACAAGTGTGAGTGTGTGCTACGGTCGGATTGGTTAAAAAAACGTTAAATGGGATTAGAAGCCAAGAAATGTTTCGACCTATTCACTGCTCCTCAAAGATTTCTCCTGGACTCCAAACTCTGAGTGCATGGTTGGCAATTGGGGAAACAATCCTTATTTGGTATGTGATAGACAAGCAGTGTGTGAAATGGTCTCAACATATTCCTGGGCGTGTGGGCTAGCTGAGCTTGAAAGTTAATGGCCAGTTTCAAATTTCACACGCTTAAATATGTTGTAGTTTATGTTTAACAAAATTGAATCTGTGAGGTGTCCAAAAAGTAAACCAACACTGCAAATCATGAGTCAAATCATATGAAGGGGTAAACGCTGATCTCGCAACCCCGATCCGTCATGCATATTAATTTGATTTTTGATGGTCACAATGATCAAAAGAAGCAGGAAGATTTGATCAACTAAGAGGTGGGCATAAAAAAATTCAGTTAAAATTTTAGCTAGGGTCATTTGAAAATCTTTAGTACGAACAAAATTTTGGAAGCCAACAGTCTGGAGGAACGTACAGTGTTCTTGTAACATCTGGAGGAACATGTAGTGTTCTTGTAACATCTGGAGGAACATCCAGTGTTCTTGTAACGTCTGGAGGAACGTAGTGTTCTTGTAGTGTCTGGAGGAACGTACAGTGTTCTTGTAACATCTGGAGGAACATGCAGTGTTCTTGTAATGTCTGGAGGAACATGCAGTGTTCTTGTAACATCTGGAGGAACATGCAGTGTTCTTGTAGGGTCTGGAGGAACATACAGTGTTCTCGTAATGTCTGGAGGAACATACAGTGTTCTTGTAATGTCTGGAGGAACGTAGTGTTCTTGTAGCGTCTGGAGGAACGTACTGTGTTCTTGTAGCGACTTGAGGAACGTAGTGTTCTTGTAATGTCTGGAGCAACGTACAGTGTTCTTTTAGCGTCTGGAGGAACGTACAGTGTTCTTGTACCAAGGTATCAATGGTATCTAAGACATTTCTAAAAATGACTCAATGTCATATGTAGGTCGTTCAAAATGATACATGGAAGTCATGAATACATAAAAAGTGGTGCTTAACTTTTTTCAAGGTGTATATAATAGTATTACGTTGAGACTCAGTAGTATTACAAAAAAACCTGGATCCGCATCCACATCTTAAAATCTTTAAAAAAACCAGCATCACTTTTGTATTCTCCCACAATAATGGTGCATCGAGCAGCCATTTCACTGACAGCTTGGGTGTAAAAAAAAAACATACACTAAACAATGTTTACTAAATTTAATTGTTATTTTGAGAGACGCATTTAATCAAGATAATGTGCTGTTGTGTGAGCAAAAACAGAACTCCATTGTGACATTCAGGTCACATGTGACTTTAATTCTTCAAGTCTTTTAGTATGGCTTGATGACTACCTCTAAACTAACAAGCATGATATAACTAAAGCTGAAAGCGGAATTAACCCAACTAAACCAACCATTAAAATAATTTCAACCGATGCACAACAGTTCTACACCAAACCTTTTCTCTATACATTGTTTGGAAAGGACAGATGATATACACATTTCAAGCTATCAACAAACAGCAGGAGGTCAATTGATGGCAGCGGAGAGAATCACTTGGAACTTTCTGCAGGTTCCGTGGTCTGTGTTTTCAGTTCTATCACACACTCTGTGCCTGGGTAGGCAGGAAGATTGAGACTGTAGCGTTGTTCCAGCGTCTTCGGCACGAAGCGGCCGCCCAGATAGTGGTGTTTGCCCCTGAAGTGGCGGGCACACAGTTTGGGTGCCGTCAGCGAGATGAGCAGCTCTGGGTGGATGCCGTCAGGGTCGCCGCTTTCTACATCCCATCCTGAAAATAGTGAGTGATGGAGTGAGTTGGGTTTAATGCTGCTTTGACTGTGTGGCTTAAAGTGAGTGTGTGAGTGAGAGAGTGAGTGAGCCGCTTTTAACATTATTCCAGTTATATAAATATACACAGCGTGTCAGCTTAATGTGGGAGGAAAGCCCGAAGTGATGCAGGTCTAGGACGTTTACCACTTTGGTGAAACCCACGAGCATGGTATGGTGCTGACAAACCTAGAAACATAATCGGGGCGAACCAGGATTCGAACCCACAATCATAGGTTTCTGGCGTGTCCAAGGGACGAAACTCTGCACTACGAATCGCGGCGCCTTAGACGACTGTGCCAGCCATGCCCCCTGCTTACAGTGAGACAAACGCCTAAAGTGAGGCAGGTAGTAGACGTTTTCACATTGATGACACTCATGACTATGGGCGTGGTGTTTATTTGACCATCAGATCCTCGAACACCTAAGGGCCATAACTCTGCCCACAACTCTGCGGAAATCATGATTACCTGTGAGGGTCTGGCAAACAAAGCATTTATCAAACACGATATAATAACTGATCTACAAAATTAAAATTAAAATTGAAATTAACCATTCACACAATCTGGTTGAACACCAATGATGCTGGCTTGTAATTAATCAAGTCTGGATGAGACAAACAAGTGATTGATATTGTGGGCAACCTCACACACTGTCTGGGTCCGATGACATGCATTCAACCATGTCCCCCAATCATTTAGTCATGAATGAGTTCTTTGGGACCAACTCTAAGCCAAAAGCTCCCCAGGCTATGTTACCTGAAGGTAAATCAATACTTGGACCAGCTCTAACCCAGACTCTCCACAGACTATGTTACCTGAAGGTACATCAATACTTGGACCAGCTCTACCCCAGACTCTCCACAGACTATGTTACCTGAAGGTACATCAATACTTGGACCAGCTCTACCCCAGACTCTCCACAGACTATGTTACCTGAAGGTACATCAATACTTGGACCAGCTCTACCCCAGACTCTCCACAGACTATGTTACCTGAAGGTACATCAATACTTGGACCAGCTCTAACCCAGACTCTCTACAGAATATGTTACCTGAAGGTACATCAATACTTGGACCAGCTCTAACCCAGACTTCCCACAGACTATGTTACCTGAAGGTACATCAATACTTGGACCAGCTCTAACCCAGACTCTCCACAGACTATGTTACCTGAAGGTACATCAATACTTGGACCAGCTCTAACCCAGACTCTCTACAGAATATGTTACCTGAAGGTACATCAATACTTGGACCAGCTCTAACCCAGACTCTCCACAGACTGTTACCTGAAGGTACATCAATACTTGGACCAGCTCTACCCCAGACTCTCCACAGACTATGTTACCTGAAGGTACATCAATACTTGGACCAGCTCTAACCCACATTCCCCACAGACTATGTTACCTGAAGGTACATCAATACTTGGACCAGCTCTACCCCAGACTCTCCACAGACTATGTTACCTGGAGGTACATCAATACTTGGACCAGCTCTAACCCAGACCTCCACAGACTATGTTACCTGAAGGTACATCAATACTTGGACCAGCTCTAACCCAGACTCCCCACAGACTATGTTACCTGAAGGTACATCAATACTTGGACCAGCTCTAACCCAGACTTCCCACAGACTATGTTACCTGAAGGTACATCAATACTTGGACCAGCTCTAACCCAGACTTCCCACAGACTATGTTACCTGAAGGTACATCAATAGTTGGTCCAGCTCTAACCCAGACTCTCCACAGGCTATGTTACCTGGAGGTACATCAATACTTGGACCAGCTCTAACCCAGACTTCCCACAGACTATGTTACCTGAAGGTACATCAATACTTGGTCCAGCTCTAACCCAGACTCACCACGGACTATGTTACCTGAAGGTACATCAATACTTGGACCAGCTCTAACCCAGACTCTCCACAGACTATGTTACCTGAAGGTACATCAATACTTGGACCAGCTCTAACCCAGACCTCCACAGACTATGTTACCTGAAGGTACATCAATACTTGGACCAGCTCTAACCCAGACTCTCCACAGACTATGTTACCTGAAGGTACATCAATACTTGGACCAGCTCTAACCCCGACACCCACAGACTATGTTACCTGAAGGTACATCAATACTTGGACCAGCTCTAACCCCGACACCCACAGACTATGTTACCTGAAGGTACATCAATACTTGGACCAGCTCTAACCCCGACTATTTACCTGAAGGTACATCAATTAGTGTATCGTCCCAGCCCTACTATTTACCTGAAGGTACATCAATTAGTGTACTGTCCCAGCCCTACTATTTACCTGAAGGTACATCAATGCTGCAGATGTGGACATCGTCTTGTATCTTCTTCAGCTTCTCCAAGATGGAGGCAAACTCGGGGCGGGCAGGTCCCTTGAAGCTGAATCCGAACAGCGCATCTACGATGAGGTTATAGGAGTCTTTGATGAGCTGGGGGTCGGAGGGGAAGAAGGACAAGAAGGGCATGTCCATCCCCTCACACTGGCGGCGCAGGCTCTCAAACAGGGGCTTGTTGGGCTGCTTCGGGTAGAAGATGGAAGGCTTGAAGCCCTGCAAGTCAGTGTATGGAGTTGGTGAGAGGGGGATATTGAGTGTTATAGCTAATGACGGGCCATTATCACGCCTGTTGTTAGATGACTTCATTGGTGACGTAGGGACAGGTGACGTATATAGCGTTAAGGCTTGAAACCCTCCAAGTCAGTGCATGGAGTTGGTGAGACGGTGATATTGAGTGTTATAGCTAAAGTAGATAGAGTGCGCCACTGTAACTTGATAACGCCCTCATATTGTGTGACGACGGGCCATTATCACGCCCGTTGTTAGTTGATGTCATTGTTTGTTGTTTAACGCCGCACCCAGCAATATTTCAGCTATATGACGGCGGTCTGTAAATAATCGAGTCTGGACCAGACAATCCAGTGATTTGCATCATGAACATCGATCCATGCAATGGGATCGATGACGTGCATCAACCAAGTCAGCAAGCCTGACCACTCGATCCCGTTTGTCGCCTTTTACGACAAGCATAGTAGCCTTTGATAGGGACAGGTGACGTATATAGCATTAAGGCTTGAAACCCTGCAAGTCAGGGTATGGAGTTGGTGAGACGATGATATTGAGTGTTGATCAAAATTAATTTGCTTGTAGGTTAACATTGCAGTCGACAATATATAGGCTATGACAGTAAATAATCCAGTCTGGACCAGACAATCTTGTGATTGACATCATGAGCATCGTTCTAGGCAAATGGGATTCTATGACATACATCAATCAAGTCAGCGAATCTGACAACCCGATCCCGTTAGTTACAACAAGCATGGGTTGCTGAAGACCTATTCTAACCTGGATCTTCACAGGGGTGTAATGTTATGAGAAAACCCAGTTGTGTTACGATTTCTTGAGTTGTGTAGTTTTTTCACCAATATTAATGCTGGGCTAGTAAATACAACCAGTAATTGTCTGTCAAAGTAATAGATTTTTGGTAAATTGGTGGGATCCAAAGAGACAATACATGTAAAAGGTGCAGATTTAAATAATCTATTTTACAGGTGCAGATAGAGACTATCCATTCAAAAGTTGCACATTGAGACTATCCATATAACAGGTGCAGGTTGACACTATCCATTTAACAGGTGCACATTGAGACTATCCATTTAACAGGTGCATATTGAGACTATCCATTTGACAGGTGCACATTGAGACTATCCATTTAACAGGTGCACATTGAGACTATCCATTTAACAGGTGCAGATAGAGACTATCCATTTAACAGGTGCAGATAGATACTATCCATTTAACAGGTGCACATTGAGACTATCCATTTAACAGGTGCAGATAGAGACTATCCATTTAACAGGTGCAGATAGATACTATCAATTTAACAGGTGCACATTGAGACTATCCATTTAACAGGTGCACTAAAAAAGGTTTGAATTGTGACTCACAAATAGTTTGAGATGTCTGGCACAGACAAGGCCGTCCCCACCATTGTTGCCAGGCCCACAACACACCAGCACTGCACCGTTGTCCTTGGACATGTTGTCTATTGGGAAACACTGCAACAAGACACACTCTGTAGATATATACAACAAGACACTCTGTAGATATATACAACAAGACACACTCTGTAGATATATACAACACACCAGCACTGCACCGTTGTCCTTGGACATGTTGTCTATTGGGAAACACTGCAACAAGACACACTCTGTAGATATATACAACAAGACGCTCTGTAGATACACTGCAACAAGACACACTCTGTAGATATATACAACAAGACACACTCTGTAGATATACACAACACACCAGCACTGCACCGTTGTCCTTGGACATGTTGTCTATTGGGAAACACTGCAACAAGACACACTCTGTAGATATATATACAACACACCAGCACTGCACCGTTGTCCTTGGACATGTTGTCTATTGGGAAACACTGCAACAAGACACTCTGTAGATATATACAACACACCAGCACTGCACCGTTGTCCTTGGACATGTTGTCTATTGGGAAACACGGCAACAAGACACACTCTGTCGATATATACAACACACCAGCACTGCACCGTTGTCCTTGGACATGTTGTCTATTAGGAAACACTGCAACAAGACACACTCTGTCGATATATACAACACACCAGCACTGCACCGTTGTCCTTGGACATGTTGTCTATTGGGAAACACGGCAACAAGACACACTCTGTCGATATATACAACACACCAGCACTGCACCGTTGTCCTTGGACATGTTGTCTATTAGGAAACACTGCAACAAGACACACTCTGTCGATATATACAACACACCAGCACTGCACCGTTGTCCTTGGACATGTTGTCTATTGGGAAACACGGCAACAAGACACACTCTGTCGATATATACAACAAAACACACTCTGTAAATACACTGCAACAAGACACACTCTGTAAATACACTGCAACAAGACACACTCTGTAGATATATACAACATACCGTTGTCCTAAAACCTCGAGACCAAATTGTGCTGTCATGTTTTGGACAAGCACCTGTTCTGTGGTGTTTGAGAATATGTTTACAGATAACCTCAAGGGCTTCCAACCACCAGGCTAAGACATGAGGTCACTTGTCTTTCATTCAGGTGAGCTAACAAGTTTTAAAATTATCATTTTCCAGTTTTCAAGGTCACATATTTATAAATTCTCCTCACCCATTTGAGACAAGTTGGAAAGTTTTTCACATTGTGTTTTTTTGAAGTAACAAAACAATAACATACCGTATTCGACGTAATAAGCGCCCCGCTCTAATAAGCGCCCACGGCGATATTTGCTAATATATTGGCTAGTGAACAATCCCAATCAGCACCCCTTCCGATTGATCAATGTACGCAAGACTTATTTATTCGCGCATATAACGCACTCGTGTGTTATATCACCCTTAATTATGGGCAATTAAATTCTTGAAAAATATATCTGTCGTATATAAACATTTCAGGATGTTTGCATAAACCACGAAATTTACGATCTTTCAACTCAAAATAATATTCTAATAAGCGCCCCCTATTTCTAATTTTGAGAGCGCCCTGGGCGCTTATTACGTCGAATACGGTAAATCATTTTGCAGTTTTCCATGGCTATGTTTTTTTCAACAACAAAAACTGGTGACTCGTGACTGATGCCTGACTGACCCTGGCGATGGCGACGGCGCAGCTGTACCCGGCCAGCTCCATCAGCTGTTCCACGCTGAAGGAGTAGTCCTCAAACAGCTCCTGGTCGATCTTCTGGGCCTCATCCTGGCTGAAACACACAACATGGAGGTTCAGTCAACTCTCATCCAAATGAAGCCCCGAACAAGGCTTAATTTCAAGCTGCGGAAATCTAGACTTGCAAAGTCATTCTAGACTTGAGTTGGACTCCTTTTTCAATTTATTCTCCAGGGTCTGGACTGAAGTGAAACATAATCAGGTGAATCTGGGATTTAAAAAGAATATCATTCTGGCACACCTAAGGGAGGCAACTCTGCATGACTGGGGTCCTAATTCACCATTGCCTGACATCATTTAACAGTAATTTGATGGAAACTGAAGTTCTTCCAGATACTTGACCATTGATGAGTGTGTGTCATTATTCCGACAGCGTGGATAAAATCACGGTTTTGTCTGGTCCAGACTCAATTATTTACGGGGCACGGGTGGCCCAGTCGTCTACGGCGCCGCGATTTGTTGTGCAGAGTTGCGTCCGTTGGGCATGCCAGAAACCTATGATTGTGGGTTCGAATCCCGGTTCGCCCCGATTATGTTTCTAGATTTGTCAGCACCATACCCGTGCTCGTGGGTTTGACCAAAGTGGTAAGCGTCAGAGACCTGCATCACTTCGGGGTTTCCTCCCACATTAAGCTCACACGCCGTGATATAACTGGAATACTGTTAAAACCAGCGTAAAACCCAACTCACTCACTCACACACTCACTTTAAGCCAAGTATTGATACTTGACCATTGATGAGTGTGTCATATCGACAGCATAGATGCAGTTAATAAAATCACTGTATTGTCTGGTCCAGACTCAATTATTTACAGACTGCCATCACACAGCTGGAGTATTACTGAGTGTGGCTATAAATAACAAACAAACAAACATTGCTATTTTGTTTATTTTAAGTCAACTGGATTATCATTTCTTAATTTAAGGAAATTATGTTACTAACAATAACCAGAATAATTTGCTTTATGGTAGACATGTGGAGGAAATTCCAAATTTGTTGTATATGTAACAAAAGTGATATCTGACACAATTCCCTATTTTGACTTGTACCATATGTTTTTCAGGTGAACAGTTGACCTGCCTTCGCATGTGTTTGTGACAGGTGCCACCAGTGTGGCAGGACAGGTCTTGCAAACGCCTGGTGTCATCACTATTTCATACATTTAAATACACATGCTTATGATATAGTCGGAGAACAATTACCGGGGTAACTCTGCTTTTGGCAGAGGTTTTAAATGAATATATATACTAGCCACATAAAGAAACTGTGCACGGAAAAAAATATAGATATAAGGGCACACTGTCCACATATGAAATATAGGTTTGAACACAGCAATTATTGGAGACATTCAAAAGCTCATGCACATGCCATGCGATATGACTGTCATTGATGGGGGCCTATGGACGTGCAATGTGTTACTGCACGTGCATCCTGTGCAGCTGTACACAGCATGTGCAACTCAAAATTCGCTGTCACTTTGGAAAGCATGATCTGTGGTCATTCAAAAATTCAAAACTTCTCAAGCGCAGACACAAGCATATCACAAGCAAATCATGCCAAGATTGACAGCTGCACAGCGTCATGAAGCCATTGGAATGATCCGAGTGGGAATGAGGCAACAACAGGTGGCAACACATTTCCAATGCCATCGTAACACGATATTAGCATTGGTGAGGCGTTATCAGAACACAAATGACGTTGCAGACCACCCACGTTATGGATGTCCCAAAGTAACGACGCCAAGACAGGACAGATGGATTCGAGTTACACATCTTCGACACAGGTTCCAAACGGCAGTAACGACGTCCCAGACAATCCCTGGACTGCGCCGTATCCATCCCAACACTGTCAGGAATCGTTTACGTCAGTACGGGATTCGACCACGACGCCCTGCCATACGTCCCATCCTGACACACCGTCATCGCGTCAACCGTCTAAGATAGTGTCAAAATCATGTTCGCCATGTTGTGTGACAAATTTAGAAACATAATCGGGGCTAACTGGGATTCAAACTCACAATCATAGGTTTCTGGTGTGCCCAAGAGACGCAACTCTGCACAGCGAATCGCGGCGACTTAGACGACTGGGCCACCCGTGCCCCCTGTAACAAAACTCCCTCCCTTCCCAGTCCCAGGCAGATGAGACATATCTGTAACTGGCAGGAGGTTAGTCAGGCTCTCGGGGAAACTTGACCACTCACAGAGTAAGATTTGCTTGTGTGTGTGTTTGTTTAACGCTGCACTCAGCAATATTACAGCTATATGACTGCGGTCTGTCAATAATTGAGTCTGGACAAGACAATCCAGTGATTGACATCATGAGCATCGATTCACGCAATTGGGATCGATGACATGAATCAGCTTCCCTGACATCCTGATCTCGTTAGTCAACTCTCCCCAAAAGCATAGTCGCCTTCAATGGTTGGTTGGATGGTTGGTTGGTTTGTTTGTTGTTTAACGCCGCACTCAGCAATATTACAGCTATATGATGGCGGTCTGTACATTATCGAGTCTGGACCAGACAATACAGTGATTGACATCATGGGCATCAATTCATTCAATTAGGATCTATGACATGAATCAACCAAGTCAGCGAGCCTGACCACTCGATCCCGATAGTCACCTTTTATGACAAGCATAGTTGCCTTTTACAGCAAGCATGGGTTGCTGAAGACCTATTCTACCCCGCATCTTAAACAACAAACAGACAGACAGACAGACAGACTTCTCGATGCAAGTATCGATCATAGGGTCGCACACTAAGTAAAAAATATCGATTCCTACCTTCAGTGTTTTCTTTAAAAACTGTTATACCACTAATTAGTAGTGAAAATTAGTAATGAAAATAAGTAGTGAAAACGTAAGTATTTTCATCCATTGCACCACACTTGAGACTGTCATCCTGTCTTTAAAATACAAGAGTCATCAGAAGATGACAAATCCCCCTGGGCCCCACAAATTTGAAAGAACAATTCATTTGAGTGTTACTTTAAGTCTAACTTGATGAGAGAACTTCTACCTGATATGTCTGTCTATATACAAGAGTAGTTATTGAGCTATCAAAACAATACCATGGAATTGGGATTCGGAACTTTGATTTTTATGTCAGGTACACACCACTATGGTCAAATCAAACTTGTTGCCATGGGAAATTTTTAATTTTTTTTTCTAAAAATCCCTGAATAGCAAAAGGCACCAGTTGACAACCTGGTCTTTGTGTGTTCACAGTTTCAAGGAAGAGTACCTATTAATTTTAGAGATATGATCCAGACAAACACACCATTATGAAAAGTCCTAAAGTCAAACTTGTTGCCATGGAAACAGAAAAAATATAAATTTTAAACTCCACTAAGTAGCAAAAGGTCCGTTTGACAAACTGATCTTTGAAAAACTGAGTGAAAAGTGTCATGAGTGAGTGAGTTGGGTTTAACGCCGCTTTTAACAGTATTCCAGTTATATCACGGCATGTCAGCTTAATGTGGGAGGAAAGCCTGAAGTGATGCAGGTCTCAGATGTTTACCACTTCGGTGAAACCCACGAGCACGGGTATGGTGCTGACAAACCTAGAAACACAATCGGGTTGAACCGGGATTCGAACCCACAATCATAGGTTTCTGGCGTGCCCAAGGGACGCAACTCTGCACAGGTAATATCGGCGCCTTAGAAGACAACGTGTTCGAGCTATACGATCGTGTGACCATGAACACAATGCTTAAACTTGAGACAAAAGTGGTCAGTGTGTACCTGCTCCTGCATTTATTACCCTGGTTGAATATTTTCATTAATACAGCTACAAATATTCACATTAGTCGGGTCTTTAACAACTGGCGCTTTAGACTGATTGGTAGTTTAGTTATATCGTTTAAATAGGAGACCTTCAATTGTATCGTCCTTAACTGGGTGACCCTTCAATAGTTGTGTTGAGTGTACTTGTATAACTATTTCTACCGTGACATTGAAGAGTGCTTGAGTGAGTGAGTGCTTGAGTGAGTGAGTGCTTGAGTGAGTGAGTGAGTGAGTGAGTGAGTGAGTGAGTGAGTGAGTGAGTGAGTATGGTTTTATGCCGCTTTTAGCAATATCAGGGCTGAGAACACCAGAAATGGGCTTCACACATTGTACCCATGTCGGGAATCGAACCCGGGTCTTCGGCGTGACGAGTAAACGCTTTAACCCCTAGGCTACCCGACAGCCCCTTGAAGAATGCTTGACTCTGATTGGTTAAAAAGAGGTGTTCTGTTAGCTACGGAAACCCCTTATAAATATATAAGCCCACAAAAAAGCTTAAGCACTTGGTTCCAAACTAAAATAAGAGGTATCTACTCTACACTGTGACTAAATCAAACTTCAAAACAAAGAAGGTTTATCTCCATAAACAAAGGGCAAACTAATCACAAGGTCACGAGAGCTCCAGACAAGCTTCGTATTTGAGTAAAATGGGTAAAATAAATCATCATAATCCTATCAAAATTGAGAAGAAAAAAACAATAATATAACTACTCTAATACCATGCGTACTGGGCAATCTTTTTGTTCCAAAGGGAAATAACTCTCCTTTTGAAAATATATAAGCGGGGATCCAACCTGTCGCTTCTGGTCTGGTTTCCGGATCTATGCACACTGCGACAACTAGTAACATGTAGAGATGTAATTACCTTCTCAGCCTGCATACACAAATATCCTTCCTCGTCTTTATTTACTGATCGCATGAGAGCTTCACTTACACATAAACTCCACTTGTGTGAATACCGGTAATGCCGAAATGGGTCACATTCAAAACACTGTACCGCAGTCATGTTATGAGATTTGTGAGATGTTATTCACCTCCGTCATTTTTTCAAATGTTTATACCCAAAGAAAGTTATAAATACCCAAAGGGATTAAAAACATGTGTGAGTATATTTTCAATGGGTAAAAAGAATAATTTTTGTGCGTAAGTTATAAGTTTCCGGACATGATGAAATCATTACTGCGCAGAAGATCACCACGTGTTTATGAAGACAAGCCGTGAAAGTTAGTCAACATTTTCTTTCCCTGTCTCATCCAGTGTCATCCAGACAACAATCAGGTACGAGAAACTGTATTTTCCTCACACTGAACATTCAATGTTTTTTACTTTACAATACATTGTTATTGAGAAGAGTTCTTTCATCCAAGTGAAGGAGTCGATGTGATAAAGCGGAGCATAGTTATTACATACAGATAATAGAGCCTGATAGCTAAACATTAACTGATACATTAGGTAACTTGATTAGCTGGTTGTACAGTGTATCGTGATTCTTATTCTCAAGTATAAGAAGATTAACGACACCAATACAAAGATCACTGAGCCACATGGCCTGATCACAAACACAGTATTCAAAATGTCGGTTACCATTGAATGCATCTCTGAATGAAAAGCCTCCCTTCCCACAGTAGTCAGAATGGGACGGTAGTCACGTTTCACCCCTGACTACTTTGAACATAATCATTCAGAAAATTGTTGTGAAACGACAACATGCAAATCAACAATATGCTATTCAAGATAACAGTGATTAATCAATTAACAATTTTTGATTAATATTTTCATGGATGTTTTTTTTGTAACTGGTCCTTACGCTCTTGCTGCAATGTCAAACAAAACATACACTTCACATCAGCTTCAAACCTGGATTTAGATAGAATAATTACCCCAGACAAAAGAAAAGCCAAATGGGAACCTTTGTCAGGTATTATGAGTGGAGCTACCACTAATTATACCGGTAACATAAAGTGATTGACAACAAATACATGGGTGTAGGGTTATACCAGGATACATTGATGACAACATGGTAGTGTCATTCGTATTATCCATGTACTACTAGGGCTGCAAAGGTTCGGTTCGGTGCACTGAGAACCCGTACTTGTAGTCTCGATTCGATCTTCAATCTACAATGTCTAGATTTTAATTCGGTTCAACTCAATTTTTGTTATAAATTTAAAATGTCCAAAAATGGTGAAAAAAATAGAAGAACTGCGTTCATATCAACGAAGTGAAAATGTCCAAAAATGCATTTGTTTGAAACTGATGACTGTCACTTGAACAAGTATTTGTCACAGAGTGACGAAATATCCCCCGCCTGTACACCATAGTACCAAATATGAAGACAATCCAGCGATTAGTTCTTGAGATATTGTGGCAACACCGTTTTCCAACTCCAAAAACAGATTTGCCTGCTTTGACCTTGAAAATGGGGTCAAGGTCACCAAATCTGACAGGTGTATGCGGTGTCTGTATATACACTATAGTTCCAAATATGAAGACAATCCAGCGATTAGTTCTTGAGATATCGCGGCAACACCGTTTTCTAACTCCAAAAGCAGATTTGCCTGCTGTGACCTTGAAAATGGGGTCAAGGTCACCAAAACCGACTGGTGTCTGCGGTGTCTGTATATACACCATAGTTCCAAATATGAAGACAATCCAGTGTTTAGTTCTTGAGATATCGCGGCAACACCGTTTTCCAACTCCAAAAGCAGATTTGCCTGCTGTGACCTTGAAAATGGGATCAAGGTCACCAAAACCGACTGGTGTCTGCGGAGTCTGTATATACACCATAGTTCCAAATATGAAGACAATCCAGTGTTTAGTTCTTGAGATATCGCGGCAACACCGTTTTCCAACTCCAAAAGCAGATATGCCTGCTGTGACCTTGAAAATAGGGTCAAGGTCACCAAAACCGACTGGTGTCTGCGGAGTCTGTATATACACCATAGTTCCAAATATGAAGACAATCCAGTGTTTAGTTCTTGAGATATCGCGGCAACAAACAGGTGGGACGTACGGACGTACGTACAGACGGTCGTGAATACTATATCCCCCGCTTCGCGCTTTCGCGCGGCGGGGGATAAAAAGAAATAGATTAGAGTGACCTCCCTTTGAAAGCATGGCAGACAACGTGCTGTCACCAGCCCCAAGTCATCTAAAATCTAATGTTTGGGCTCAAGTGTGGCTAGTGAGAGGGTCTTTTCAACAGCCGGGGATGTTGTGACTGCTCAGAGGGCTTCCCTCTGTAGTGACAATGTGGACATGCTGGTGTTTTTATCCAAAAGTCACGAAACAACATACTCGAAGGTGTCTGCAAGTTTTCCTACAAAGCCTGGATACAGGAAGATGACGGAAAACTGTTTATAAATATTGAAATCAACATATGGTATTCAAATAACTAACAGTTGTAAATATCTTGGTTTCAGATAATACAAACGAACAATTTAACCTAAGTGAGATGTCCCGAAAGAGTCTATTTCGAGGCGCTCAAGGTAAGTCATTCATCACTCAAAAGGCTGACCATTTTATATTCTGGGATTTCAAAATCAAAGGAATAGTTATCATTGTTCATAATTCTAAGAATACTACCTCTGTTGCATAATTTCAATAATCCTGTATTTGGGTTGTAATAACACTATAGCTAAATTTTTAGATTTTCAACAGAAGTCGTTTTCTCTGTCAAGAAATGAGAAGTGAAAAGCAATAAGTATGAGTCAGGATTAGATAAAATTATAGAAATGTTCTTTAAATCCGGTCATTTTCAGTCACTGGGTTATGAAATTAAAGCTCAAAATGTTTGGAATTCTCATCATAATAAAATAAATGGATAGATATTTCAGTCAGTTTGTAAAATACTGAATATTTAGGCATTTAATAAATTGTCTTTTACACATTGACTATGACATATACACACGATAATATAACCTATGCTCAGGTGAAATATTTAGTTAGTGTTAAAATAACTCAAAATAGTGTAAACCAGGGGTCCGGAAACCGTCATATGCGCCGGACATGTCCGATTGGGAATCTCAAATGTCCGTTTTAAAATATTGCTTACCGGACATTTTAAAAAGTATTGTCCGGATATTCTTAAATTTTGACCGGACATGATCAACAGTTAGGACTGAGCAGTTTCTGTCTGCAGTTGCAACACAATGAAGATTAACTACACTGACAAGCTTTGTTTGTTTTGATTGCTGTAAATACATCGTACCTACATGATAGTCCAATCTGTCAATCACTGTAATAGGCAATAAACTGAGTTGACACTGATTAATCGAGGATTAATTACTGAGAACATCTTGTTAATTTGAGTGAAAGGTGTTTACAACTGTACATTATTACCTTGCATCATCGATGTACCTCATAATCCTCACAATGCTACGATACGTAACCTCAGACAAGAAGCGAAAGCGTGACGACAGGCAGTCGACCGATGCAGATCAGTCGAGCGGATCTGCCAAACCCTCAAAGTCTGGACGATCATTTTGTAAGTCGTGGCTAACGACTTTCACTTGGTTGACATACTATGAGGATTTGCAGATTTTATTGTTTTCAGTAGCTAGTCGTATATTGAATCTTGATTGACCGCCATTTTGCTTTCTCGGACGATCGATATCCAATTTGTTTATGGTCAATAATTAAGTACAGATGAAAAAAGTATTCAAATAACTATTGCTATCAACGATATTTTAGTATTTGTGATTAAATAATCTGTCTTGTTTTTAAAAAAATCTTTAGTTTAAAAAAAACTTTTCCCGTGAGGTCACGTGATAACCAAATATGGGATAATAGTCTCGATCCAAATGTCACAACGCGTACACTTGAGCAGACTCATGAATATAACTCATGAATATTAACTAGACCGATCACTACGTTAACAGATCGTTATTATAACAGAAACAAACGTATTTTTTCCATGTAAATCTAAAATGATATTATTTGTTATTAATTGTCCGGTGAATTAAACAATTTAAATTGAAACAATTCATAATTCATCATATTATGAATACGTAAACTTGTAATGTGTGTGAAAAGTTGTACTAAAATACGCTATTTGAAGGGGGCGTGGCCTAAATGCAAATGTCCGATTGGGATTTTAAATTTTCCGGACCCCTGGTGTAAACAAAAATCGCACAATACCAAGCAAGTGACCTTTCAAAACTTTGTCACCAAAGATACCTACATTTCCTTATTATTTCCAAGACAAAACTATATTTTTATTTTGTTGATCAATGTGGTGATACGCCCTAATTCTATCAGTAAAAGCGACACATGCACTTACTGTCACAGGTCATAAGCTAGTCAAGATTTCTGGTATATCATCCGGGTACTCAATGGAAAATACAATAAAGGCAACAACCAGACCCGGGCCATTGCTTCAGATCAGTGCCCCCTTAGAGTTAATTGGAGTGATTCCTAAATGGCTCATAAGCCAAAAAGTCCATATTATCTTCCACATACACACGTGACCTGTGCAGACACAAGAGGCATTTTCTGTATTTTATTATAGGTTAATCCTTTAAAGAAAGTAGGTTGTTTTCACATTAGAACTTCATGCCCAAATATGGGTGTATTCCGTCTGCTTTAGTAAAACTACATATATAAACACATACTTTTGGCAAATCCACTGTGCAAGATAACAGTGATGAATCAATCAATGATTTTCGATTAATATTTTCATGGATTTTTTTTGGTAACTGGTCCTTATGCTCTTGCTGCGATGTCATACAAAAAGGTAGTCAGCAAATCAACTTACCCCAGCTAGTGAGCCAAAGTGGGTTAGGGTTATACAGCCGGGTAGAAGCCAGAGATTAGAGCCCCTTTAAGAATAGCTTGAAAAGGGGCATTTGGATATCAGAGACAACTGAAAGTTTCAGAAGAATGCTAATGTCATAAAAATGTTGTTTAAAAAATTGATAAAGTGAAAAAGGAAAAGAAAAGGCACAATGTTGCCAATCAGAACCAGAAACATACCACTATACATAGCCTAACAGTCACACATAACCTTTTTCAGAGAGTGAGAACCCATCCAATCAGGACAGGCAACAACTTGTCACAAGCCACACCACTGGTGAGTAATAGTCCACTTAACTTTTCAAAAGGAAGACAAAAGTGTTTCATATATTTACCCTCTTAGAAAAACATATTGCAAGTGATGAATAGTTGGTGAACACTGTCACTATCAGATGTATCATGGCCTTGTAACATGTAACTAACAGTTGAAAATATCTTGGTTTCAGGTGATACAAAGGTACCAGTTGAGAATGACATAGTCACACATAGTGGAACTCCAGCCACTCAAGGTAAGTCATTCATCACTCAAAAGGCTGACCATTTTATATTCTGGGATTTCAAAATCAAAACAATAGTTATCATTGTTCATAATTCTAAGAATACTACCTCTGTTGCATAATTTCAATAATCCTGTATTTGGGTTGTAATAACACTATAGCTAAAGTTTTAGATTTTCAACAGAAGTCGTTTTCTCTGTCAACTATATATTAAGAGTTGTTTCCGTAAAAAGGAAAAATCATACAGCTCTTCCTTGTACAAAGGCGGGAAAATTCTCACTTCAACAATATGATTGAATGTTGAAAAAACATGAACTATCACGCCAATGTCATTTTCAATCCCACAGTTCAGGAAGTTTCCACTATCAGAAATGAGAAGTGAAAAGCAATAAGTATGAGTCAGGATTAGATAAAATTATAGAAATGTTCTTCATTTTCAGTCACTGGGTTATGAAATTAAAGATCAAAATGTTTGGAATTCTCATCATAATAAAATAAATGGATAGATATTTCAGTCAGTTTGTAAAATACTGAATATTTAGGCATTTAATAAATTGTCTTTTACACATTGACTATGACACATACACACGATATTATAACCTATGCTCAGGTGAAATATTTAGTTTGTGATAAAATAAGTCAAAATAGTGTAAACAAAAATCGCACAATACCAAGCAAGTGACCTTTCAAAACTTTGTCACCAAAGAAACCTACAGTTCCTTATTATTTCCAAGACAAAACTATTATTTTTATTTTGTTGATCAATGTGATGATACGATCTTATACAATCAGTAAAAGTGACACATGCGCCTTCTGTCATAGGTCACAAACTAGTCAAGATTTCTGGGATATCATCCGGATACTCAATGGAAAATACAATAAAGGCAACAACCAGACCTGGGCCATTGCTGTAGATCAGTGCCCCCTTAGAGTTAATTGGCTCACAAGCCCAAAAGTCCATATAATCTTCCACACACACACACACACATGACCTGAGCAGACACAAGAGGCAATGTGATATTCTTCTTAATTTCTTCTGTATTTTATTATTGGTTAATCCTATGAAGAAAGTATGTTGTTTATACATTAGAACTTCCCGCCCAAATATGGGTGTATTCCGTCTGCTTTTGTAAAACTACATATATAAACACTTACTTTTGGCAAATCCACTGTGCAAGATAACAGTGATTAATCAATCAACGATTTTCGATTAATATTTTCATGGATGTTTTTTTGTAACTGGTCCTTACGCTCTTGCTGCGATGTCTTCCACCGTTCTGTTTGTTTAGGTAGAAGAAATTAATTGACATGGGCCTTTTGTACCATCAAAACCTTCACAGATCACGAGTAACCAATGAGTGTTCAGAAATGTGTACAGACATTACATCAAAGTTTATTTACACTGTCCTTACAGACAATAGCCCAGTCTCTTGTCAGACTCCGTTGCGTTAACGAACATATCGACTCACGGCACCAAGTGAACCCTAGTGGGTTAGGGTTAGACAGCCGGGTAGAAGCCAGAGATTAGAGCCCCTTTAAGAATCACTTGAAAAGGGACATTTTAATATCAGAGACAACTGAAAGTTTCAGAAGATAGCGAATGTCATAAAAAAAATGTAGTTTAAAAAATGGATAATGCGAAAAAAGAAAAGAAAGGCACAACATTGCCAAATCAGAACCAGAAACATACCACTATACTAATAGCCTAACAGTCACTCATTACCTTTTTCAGTGAGTGACAACTCATCCAATCAGCCAGATACAAGCCCCACCACTGGTGAGTAATAGTCCACTTAACTTTTCAAAAGGAAGACAAAAGTGTTTCATATATTTACCCTCTTAGAAAAACATTCCAAGTGGTGAATAGTTGGTGAACACTGTCACTATCAGATGTATCATGGCCTTGTAATATGTACTGGAGTTTTATGGAGTGGCCTGGTGACTTAATATTCATCATGTCCAGACTGTCCTAACTTGGTAGGAATATATATCACCATTGTATCTGAATGGTCAGTATTGTATTCAAGATTCTGAAACTATCTTTGACTAACAATGTGATGAAATAGAGAATACTACACTCGTTCTCATAAGATACTTACAAACCAAAACACCAGAGACCTATATTCTCGCCTAACAGTCATACGCTACCTTTTTTCAGATCGTGATGACGTACAACATCAGCCAAGCGGAGAACATGACCCCAATCCATCTACTAGTAAGTAGTGTTCTACTCAACTTTTAAAAAGCAAGATTTGACTGTCTTAATTCAAAATTTTTTTTTTTCCTTGTTATAAAAGTAATGTTCCTTGTTGTGATATTGTCACTATGAGACATATCAGGACCTTGGACCAACCTAAAATGGAGTTTTATGGAGTGGGCTGGTGACTTCTTAATATTCATCATGTCAACACTGTCCTAACTTGGTAGGAATATATATCACCATTGTATCTGAATGGTCAGTATTGTATTCAAGATTCTGAAACTATCTTTGACTAACAATGTGATGAAACATGCATATCATATGTGTCACTTTGTTCTAACATAAAGTCTGGGCACTTCGATCATGGGTTAAAATCCCAGATTCGCCCTGAACCTTTGTCAGGTATTCTGACTGGAGCTACCACTAATTATACCGGTAACATTAAGTGATTGACAACAAATACATGGGTGTAGGGTTATACCAAGATACATGGATGACAACACGGTAGTGGCATTCGTATAATCCATGTAATACGAAATCCAAAATCTGAAATGCTTTCAATGTGGATGCTTTTTTTTTTCCATTAAACTACAACCATCAGGGTTATTTCAAAAATTAATAACAACATCGGATGTGCTTCCACCGTTCTTTTTTTTTAGGTAAAAGAAATTAATTGACATGGGCCTTTTGTACTATCAAAACCTTCACAGATCACGAGTAACCAATGAGTGTTCAGAAATGTGTATAGATATTACCTCACAGTATATTTACGTTGTCCTTACAGACAATAGCCCAGTCTCTTGTCAGACTCCGTTGCGTTAACGAACATGCACCTAGTGAGCCCAAGTGGGTTAGGGTTAGACAGCCGGGTAGAAGCCAGAGATTAGAGCCCCTTTAAGAATCGC